GGGCAAGCCTGCTCGGCGAATGGCCACTTCGCAGTTCAATATCCTGTTCATTTGCATTGGAGTAATTTGAGCTTATGGCTCTGCAAGGTGCCTGTGAGTTGTCGTGAGGTGCCTGTGCAAGCGGCTGCTGCGCTTCGGGTACCTGTGTAGCCAGAGCGGCTCCCAGTCAGTGCAGCAGAGCTGCACATGTGTCAACTGATTGAAAAACTCATGCATGGAGATGTTTTTTGAACAACGCAGCTAGAAGACGTCGACAGCCTCAGTAGGCGCGGCTGCATAAGCTTTGGGCCAGAGCATCATGCTGTCCCGGTTCCGGTCGCATGCCGGTCTTGGTGTGTGAGGCACGCGCTAGAGGCGGCCAAGATCGAGAGATGAGCTGCTCTGACTAGCTCAGACAACCAGATCTTTTGACTTGTGTCTTGCCAAAACGAAAGAGATCTTTGAAGGTTTCTTTCTCGGACACCTCTGTTCCAATGTGATGTGCATCGTATCCGGTCGCCTGGTGACCTCAGGTTTCGGCCTTGCCCAGGCCTACGATTTTGAGGATGTTCCGTGCCTGAAGTAGCTGAGTTGACCAGCAAGCCTTACAAGTCCAGCTTCGATAACATGCGAGCATGTGCACATTGCCCTTTTCATTCAGTGATTCGCTGTTAAGATGATGCCTGCCCAGGGACAACAAGAGCTCTAGTAACATCGGCAAGCTGAAGCTTGCCACTGCAAACCCGCGAGCATGAAAGCCAAGAGAGTATCGGAGTATCGCTTGTAGCCGGAAGTAACTAATTCAAAGATAAATGTCTGGGGTCATTGCCATCATACACGCTTCATACTACTTACGTTCGAACGTTTCATAGTGCAACGCAGTAGCGGGGATAGGTCCCGTACTTCTCTTTCGGCTTCGTTGCTCATCTTCCTACTCTTCCCTGTGGTTGTACCAGTGGCCAGGCTCCACATTTAAGGTGCTAGCACCCTAAACCCTAATACTAGCAAAACAGGGACGGAACAGAGGCGCCATCAAAATATTAGTAGCAGTAGTAACAACAGTAATAACAGTACTTGTATTGGCTTGGCAGAGCAAGGGCTCTAGCCTAAACTCCTTAAGAAGGGGTATATGGGGATTATATAGGGGAGTATTACAGGGGGTTATTCAGAGGGATAGGAGTTTAGACTATAGCCTATATCTCATATTGTACTTCTTGCATAGGCTTCTGGTCGTTTCCGTTGCCAAGGGCTTAAAGCTCCTGAAGATTTCAAATTGTTTTGAGTTGCTTATCCCTGCTCCTGGTGCATGCCACGGGTTGCCAGGGTGGCAAGTAGAATGCCGGGAGATGACATCAGGAGGAATCAGCGGGAAGTTTTTATATCTTGAATCAATGAGATGCTTCCCAGCCACATCCTCGAAATCTCCGTCATGTTGCCCCGGAGCCCTGAGGGTTTTCCTGCTCGAAAACCTCGTAAGAAGAGTAAAGATTTCACCGCTGCCGATGGAGTGGACCGGAAGGAAGTAGAAAGGTGTTTGGAAGTCGACTTCACAATGTCGTGGTTTTTGAAGATCTAGGTTTAGACATTGTGGAGATCCCTATGCACTTCGTGCATCGGGTTTTCTGAATCGACAGGCCTGTCCTAGTCTCCCCTGAATGACCTCTCCGTGCCCTGGAGACCCGGCGATGTGCTGCAGGGGAAGTGACGCTTTGTACAGCCAGGGTCGACTTGTACAGAGCTGATCCTTCAAGAGCACTGGCAGATTTTCGGACTGCTCTGCTGATCACCGGAAACAGAGCATACAGCATGGTTGCATGGGTTGTGTGTTTGGTCCCACCGTCAATCTTTACTCTGCCCCTGTCCTTGGTCAAATGGGCCACTGCAGGAAGCTTCCACTCCAATCGCTGTATCCTTGCAATCACAGAACGGGCTGAACCGAAGCTGGGTTTTGCAAAGCATGAGGCCGCACTTCGTGAGCCCTAAAATGTGGAAAGCCCAATCCAAATCCCTGAGAACAATTCGATCTCCACACCAAAGCCTCAGCCTTACTTGAGAATGGATGTTACGTTTACAGTGTCAAAATGAAAATAGCTGATCACAGCCTGTATAATGATTTGGGCGGGCTACGAGAAGATACCAGAAGAGTACGAATATTGTTCGCTTTTTCCACACATCACATAAGTTGCAGTGGTGCAGTGACGGCAATCAGGTAACCATGTCATAGTTGCAACTGTCATGTATGCTATGAAGCTGCTACGTGGTCAACATTTTCGTATAGATATACGTATACAGTCATGTCATGTGTGTCTTACAGTACCCTTCCTGAGTAAGCAGACAAATTGCTGTGAAACATATGTGCATCATCCAACCTCATAGTCCTCATCTAGGCCTAGTGTAGCACCTTCAAAAGACATCGAACCGCCATTTCCATGACGCACACTGCCGCCCTCAAAAATACCTCCCAAAAACATGACTCGAAGGCTAAGCGTCATTGTCGGCGGCGGCTGCGCAGCGTGTGGGCTGCGTGGACAGCGGGGCATGGTGCAGGGAGCAGCCCAAAATTCTTGGCCCCCTTTCTCAAGGAAAGGATTTGTTCCTTGTTTGGCATCAGCCAGGGATTATGCAGGAGCTGCTTGAGATCCTAGGGGTGCGGCGTAGGGGTCTTTATTTTGAGAAATATTCAGGTGAATCCGTCAAGCAGGAGAAGCAGCAACCTCAGGAGTAGCAGCACAGTTTTTCAGCCGACCCCTGCATTAAGGGCCTCCTGTTTTGGTTGAGATCATAGGGCAATGAGCGGGCCCTGACAAGTAGTCAAGCTCAACATTCCTCTTGTCGTAGCAATGAACTCAGACGCTACTTGCTCCAAGTTATGTTTTTTTTTTCTGGGGACCGCTGTCAACTGTTCTTTTTTTGGAACATGGAGATTGCCGCATGTTGGAGTAAGAACGCTGTCGGAGGTCCAAGTGACTGGCGAGGACGCTTAAGGAAACTACAATTTGTGTCTTGGTTCTGGCTCTCGTTCAGGATAGGAAATTGTATGACATTCTCCTGTAGTGCCTTTTGAGTTGCGTGGTGGTTTTATGCGGCTGCACCCATCATCGCTTGCTTTGCCATCTGCAATCTTGCATTCTCCGGTTCAGGACGGCGTCACGCAGGCGCCTGGGCGAAACGCAACCGGCTACAAGGGAGGTTTACAGAAGCAAGAGCAACTTAGTTGTAAGATTTCTGTCCTGTCAGCACCAACAAGTCGTGTCTTCTGCCGGGAATGCCTTCCGTTCCACTTCCACTAGACATTCATGGGGTCCAAGTCAGGGTGTGGGCGGAGGTTGCGATTAGCTTCAGAGCTCTCCAGTAGCTTTGAAGCCTTCGTGTTGTAGGCACCGTCGACTCGGCGAGCAGCATGGCCACAGCTTGGAGGACCTCGCAGCGGTCTCGGAAAGATGATGAATTGATGAGAGTTTGCTTCCTCTCCACCAGCATCGGAAGCTGTCAGCAAGGTTCAGATACGTGCCGCGCCCGTTTTCCGCCGGGGTTTGGGAGCCCAGCCTGGATGATCTCCCGCGTTGTCCCTGAACACCTTACTGGAGAAGCACATGCGCTGTGTGACGTCCAAGAGAGAGATGCTGGCAGCTTTCTGGCTCCAACGTCAGTGTCCTACACGTGTCACACCAGCAAGCAGCAGGAACCAAGTAGCAACATGCTAAGCAGAGCTGTGGATGGCCCATGTAAGTGCTAGCTTTGCGCAAGATGGCCTTGCGAGCTCGCAGCTCGGACAGTACTAGTAGCATGCAAAGATCTGGGTGCTGAGGAAGGAGTCTCCTGCGAAGTTGGTTTGGCAGCACCGCACTAGAGAGCAGTCGCCGCCTTGCATGTTTTCTGTTGGCTCAGGCTTTTCGCCCATAATTGGAAGGCAGACACCCCACAACACCTACAAGCAGTACTAGGAATCGACAAGATACCTCCAGATGATCATTGACTAGAGGGCCTCTGCATGTACGATTTCGGTAAAGTTGACAACTGGAACGAGGCATGACCTTCAAACGCTCAGCTTGCGGTGAGAAGGAACTCAACTATCACGACAAGCAATTTGACCCCCCCCCCCAGCTCGTCCAACGATTTGGTCCCCACATTTGATAAGAGAGCTGGTTTCATCTTAGCCAATGCATTTGGCGCGGCCTCGTGTTCTGTGAATGTCAGTCCCGAGCGCGTTAAGCGGGCAAAAGGCGGCCTGGGCCTCAGCGCAACATGTCGTCATGGTGTGTCTTTGCGGTCATGGTGTCAAGAGCATCCTGCTCCTCCCAGTCCATGAGCCACAGAAAAGTAGTCTGGAGTGGAGCAGGCAGGATCCTGAGAGCTCCTGGTCTCACGCGCTTGCATCCGATCAATGTGTGGGTTTTGCACGTTATCCATCATAGCTGGATGTCTAGGAGTGTCTCAGTGAATTGAAGAAGGGATGCTCCTTAACTTCTCAGGTGGACTTCAAAATCCATGACCCTGAGGCCACGCTGTGTGTGCAACAGGATGCTTGCTTGTATTGCTTGATGAATCCTCTCATCTTGTCCTCCTGGGCAGGGCATGCTGGAAATTCGGCACCAGGAGATCATGGCTCGTCTGGACGACCTCTTCCGGCGGCAGGAGATGCAGCTTGCAAAGGATATGGACTTGGGTACTTGACGGTGCTTGTGTTTCTCCAAACACACCGCCACCAAGAAACAGGGTCTCAGGCCCTCTTGTGTTGAGTGCCAGTGCTGAGACACTTAGACTTGTAGCTAGCGCGCAGAACATGTCTTCCAGTTAGGTAGCTGAGAGGGAGAGGCATGGTGTGGCGATTCTTGTGTCGTGGGCAGGGGGACGTAGTTTGCAAGAACTTGTTTTTCTCCAAATTATGGTCTCTTCTGGATCCTTTACTTCAGTTTTGTCCCGATGATTCTGAGGGCTGCCCATCTGAGGCTCCTCCAAGGTTGGCAGACGGAGACTTCGCAGCCGAATCTTCGTGGGCACATGTATCAGGTTTTGCAGAGTTTTTCTTGCTTGGACCTTTGGAGAATAGCCGGCTGCTGAGGAGAATGAAATTGAGAAGATTATTTTGGTAGGCTTTAACGCGGTTTATCCAGCACACTCCCGCCAATTGCACACCATAAAGCCCCTTTGACATGAATTCTCCTACGGTGCACAGGTGTACTTTTGCATTTGCAGTGCTTCCTGAGGACCCAGATGTTCAGGATGAGTGAGCCGTCGTTTGGCCATGTGCCGACGCTGAAATCGCGACCTGTCGGAGCCCTGCAACTGCACAAGGCCAGACTTCAGACAGGTGTGCAGTCTGCCTTGAAGGTTCTTGACCCCCAATTAATTCCTCTCACTGCTGCAAGGACGCAGGGGCCGATTCGTACGAGTTAGCAAAGGAGACTCAGAAGCAAAATCTCATGTTTACTCGGGGCTTGAGTCCAGAGGCTTGGACCAGACAGAGTCCATGCTTGGAGTTCTGAGGCTGCAGCCAAATTCAGAAGAAATAGATAAGCTACGGATGATGGGCTTGCGCTAAATTTGCTTAGCAAACCGGCAAGTGGCCTTAGCATGAAACCTTGCAGGTGATGATTTCCATGGAAAATACAGTGATTCAGCGAGTTTGGGCTGTCCTTAAAAAGCAAGCCGGGTGGTTGCAGGCACCGAAGCTTCAAAACATTCTGCAAGCAGATCATTCCGTTTACCAGTGCACACCCCCGGAGCACTTTGGCACCATCATTACCCTTGATTTTGCTTGACTTCCAGCAGCATGCAGCAATCCACGTTGCAAAGACTTTCTTCGTCGTCCAATGACACAGTGCTATTAGGAGCAGCACTAGCTACTAGTACGAATAGCCCTACAGCAACTCCAGTCAGCACCCAAGAGACAATAAAAGGAACTAACTCGTGTGAAGTATTCACACTGTACAGCAAGCGTGCACTAAATGGTCAGCTCAATGGAGGAAAACCCTCTGAGCCCAGCTGTGGATCTCCACTGCGCACTGGTGCAGGGACGCTTTGCGTTGCGCAAGTTGCCAATTTAACCAACCCCACCTGAAATGCCATTATGTTTGTTGTCTGACCAAAATAGCACAGCACGCACGATACCCATCGGAATTATTGTAGCATATGTAGGATTTTGTCTATCAAAGAACCCTAATACCCTAAGCTGTCTAGTAGTAGACGTTGCAATGGTTCTAGTAGCGAGGAACTTTCGTATGCACCGAAGCCTGGCAGCCGTCGGGTCGCGCGCGGCAACCGGACTCTCGGCCATGGATTTAGCGCTTTCCCTCAAGCATTCCTCGACATGTCACCACCATGATGCAATTTTGGACGAGATTTCTGTGTGCATGTTTAGAGTCATTTCGCTATCATCAATCCAGAGATAATGCTTCTTGCTCAATTTTTTGGCAACCACTCTTTTTGAAGCATGACAGCTACTGTATGATGGAAGCTTCATGTTGTAGCGAAGATGATGACTATTGCGTTTGCTGCTATTGCTGCCGCCACTACTGCCATTACGGCCACTCCTTCCATAGCTACGTTTGCTATTTATTGTACGGCTAGTATGCTTACCATGGTTCATGTTCTGATGAGTCATAGTCGCCACGACTACGAGTAATGGGACGACGATTGCTGCTAGCTAGTGCTGCCGCTGCTGCTGGTATTACTCACTGCTGCTTCTGCTCACGATAGTATCAGTCAGAGTGACATTCCTTACTACTGTTTGCCTTGCGGTGCAAACCATAAACATGCTCCAGAAGGCACTATGTTAATGATTTCCAAGTTTGTTTTGCCGGGAGTCTGAGCCTCGGTGGGGCTTAAGATTGCTGTCGCGCCTTAAGGTTCGAAGGTTGGGCGTAGTTGGACCAACACAGAATTGCCAGGAACTAGGGGTATGAAGCCTGCCAGAAAGGGGGCAGCCGGCACCAGTGCAAAGTTTGTCCATTCGGCCCGGGGGCAGTCAGTCTGGGCTTTTCTCCAAGTGCAAAGGTGCACTGCTCAACTCTGAAGTATTATAGTCCCGCTTAAGTAGATAGAATATGGCTTTGGGTAAATTAGAATAAGATCCCCATGTACCCCATATTCTATGTACTGACGGGGGACTATACCCCCAATATATACCCCATTATGATATAGTAGTTTCCATTTTCTTTTCCATTATCCCTATATAGCCCCAAGAAAACCAAATATTTTATATACTTGAGGGGGACTATAACCCTCAACCCTAAATAGTAGTTTCCATTTTTCTTCTCAATTATCCCGATATCTACTTAAGGGGGACTGTATTCACACATGAGCTATAGTCTAAACTCCTAGTATCCTCCTTAATAACCCCTATAGCAGTCGCCTATATACTCCCCTATATAA